CTGGTGTATCTACCACACCTCCCCGTTTGGTGTCATCAGCAAACTTGCTGAGGGTACATTCTAACTCTTCATCCAGGTCATTGATGAAGAAGTTAAACAAGGCTGGGCCCAGTACTGACCCCTGAGGGACACGACTAGTTACCGGCCTCCAACTAGACTCAGCGCCGCTGATGACAACCCTCTGAGTTCTGCCATTCAGCCAGTTCTCAATCCACCTCACTGACCACTCATCCAGCCCACACTTCCTGAGCTTCCCTAGGAGGATATTATGGGAGACTGTGTCAAAAGCCTTGCTGAAACATTCCTTCCCTTTTCAGAAAGAAGACACAGGAACACAGCTTTAGATTCTACTGCAGCCCATAGAAAGTTGTGCGACGACAGAGTGAGAATGAGGTGACTGTTTCCTCTAATTATCACGCCTCTTAGCTGTATCAGAACATCCCCCAGTTTAGATGTTCCCTGCATAAGGGACAGAAAAGCCTGATCCAAGGCAAGAAATGTTATCTTTTCTGATCATAATGGCCAAATCACACGAACCCACGTAGCACTGAACACAGTGTTTCCAGTCTTCAGGTGCAGCACCAAGTCACTTAATGTATTGGTTGGCAACAGTTTTAGATACCCAGCAATCTGTTCTTGGAACACTTACTGATGGGTATCATCCCTTTCAAATATAAATTGTTTGGCTCTGAGAACTTTAATTTCTATGTGTTTTCAAAGCATTTAGCACAATAGGACACTGACTGTTGGCCTGCACTAGTGCAGTATGATTTACAGTCCACTTACTTGGTGAATTTTTAAAGGCATTTTGAATTACGGCTTCTCTAAAACCACTTTGAGTGGAACTTAATCAACAGGCAGATTTGTGCAAGATAGCCATGTTAAAACTCTTTCATAAGTGACTGCAAATATGTGTCTTCAATGTTTAGAAGACAAATTTGTTCTAGTGCATCAGGATTAAAGATCGATAGTGTCTTTAAAAACAGAAAAAGTCTTAATATTGTTTAGAACAGATCAAGAGCAAAGAATAATCAATGTACAATATAAGCAGAGAAAAGTACATTCAACTGTTAAACTTTTATTTAGAAAATAGAAGGGGAAAATAAAAGGGGGAAAAGTTTATTCACGGGGAAAAATGATTTAGCAGACAGCATTTAGAAAAGATTTTGAAAATGCAATGTCCCTGCAATAGGATTACAAAAATTGTCGATCAAATGCACACAGTTTAAAGCCATATCAAATGCTTAAGGATCAACAGATCTTCAACAACTTTGTGATAACTATTACAGAAATACTGACACACTTATCATGTCTGTGCATCTTGGAAGTTTTATTTGCAGCTACTTGTACTCAGCAGATTCAGGAAACTGTAGCTGAGTGAGATTTTGTGAGCACTGACATAAGCATATACTGTATTGATTTCTTTTGAAATTACTGAGTACAAAATTTGCTTACTTTACAGTCCAGGAATCAACCAGCCCACGAAAGAATAATGCAGAATGAATTCTCACTGAACTATTAGAGTGCTTACATAAATCGGGTTCCCTGTTTTTACACTAAAAAAAACGCCAGTGGTTGCCACAGTCCTAATTAAATCTTTCTAAACATTCTATTTTAACTATGGACTTAGTCATCTCCTTAGACTTTTCTGGTATACTGTGTTATTCCTGAAGTAAGTAAGCATGCCTTAGTGTAATATCACACCAGAGCTTATCAAGAATAACCTTCCTGAAGTCAACAGAGTTAAGCCAAAGGGAAACTGCTCCAAGTGTACTTACACTGAAAACTACGTTTTTGCTGCTGGTGCTGCTACAAGTGACTCTGAGTCTGAAATTTCCCTTGCACAGGAACGTACAAACTGCTGCAGAGGATAACTCTAAGGATCCATCTAGAACGGTATCTTTCTTTCCGATACAGACAGCAACAGGTGACTCAGAAAAAGTAATAAAACAGAGCAAGAATGTAGTGACTGGGGGTAAGAGAGGAGGCAGACACAGAGACTGCGCTGTTCCTGCAGCAGAAGTGCTGCCTTTGTATTTAATAGCTTTTAATGGATTTTTCCTCAATTAGTTTAGCCACTTGTCTTTTAAACCTGTGTAAACCTCTTGCATGCACAGTGTCCCAACGCAGGGATTTTCACAGTTTAGCCACAGGCTGTGTAAGGAATTCTGAAAGCAGAACCAAGGCAAATGTTTTCAAAGTAAAATTTCATCATCTTACCTGTGGAGTGCTGTACCTTATTCTGTAAGTAGTCCAACTAAGCAAAGCCTTACCCCTCTGAAGCAATTGGTTCACATTGCATGAGATTAGAATTTTATTACATTATTTCACTGTGTATAAAGAGAGGAGATACAGTGACACCCATACTCAAAAGGCTTTATACAATTACATTTCACTTTTGTAGAATTTAGATGTCTAACATTTACAGGTTCACAACACAAACATTAGATACTTACTTCTCAGCTTCCTAAGTTCTGCTCCCATGCAAGCCAGTGAGCATCACTGTCTGATCTGTGCTGAAACTCATAGTACATTATTTCTTCTACCCGTTTCAGATTTGTTGGACATGCTTGCATGTAAATCCTGGACTACCTTGATTCAGTAAGCATCTTTATCCCAAGGCGAGCACAATGCACAGCATTTATATTATTTCTGAATTCAACTAAGCTGTAAGCAAAGGAGATGATCTAGTTCTTCATACTTTATATGTAATGGTTAGACACACTGCCAGGAAGTGGGAAAATTACTTTTGACTGTCTTCTGCCATTCCCCACTCCTCCCACAGAAGGCTTGGGTGGCATGGGCCACCGAGCAAGGAATAAAGGATTCAAGAGAGACCAAAAAGTACAGGCAGGAGAGGACCAAAGTGTATTCCAGTGCATTCTTTGGCAGTCATCTACCAAAGAGAAACCCTGAATTCCCGTCTCTCTGGCCTGGTTCAAGCACTGTTCTCCTCCACTGTCACTCTGTTCAGCATTTCCCTAAAACTTTGATATCTTAACCAAATTGTCATACCCACTCTTGGAAATGGGTGCCTAATCTGAAGGCATGACTAACCCCAAGTCGCTTTGTGGACCTGGACCTGAGGATGGTACCAGGTATAGAACTACAAATGGTCATCCTTCAGAAAGACACATCCACTTCTATAACTGTCAGGGGATAAAATGAGTCTGTGTAAGAATGGTCAGGAAGGAAAAGGAAAGTGTATTTCCTTGGAGTGGGAGGCTGGTTTATTTTTCACAAAATGGAAGAGCTGTTACAGATCTGTGCTTTCATAGCAAATGCTGGGTCTTGAAAGCCTATGAAAGCTTTCCAGCTTTTACTACCGTGACATCTTCCAGGAGGATACACAAGACGGGAAAGGAATCTGCACCAGTTAACACTGACTCAGTGGGTATTTACTTACACTGGCTAAGGCAGAGCAGCACATTGCCAATTTCTCAGGCATACTGAAGAGACACATCATTCACTGAGTATCACTGCCACTATGAAGCAGACTGGAGTGCCTCCATCTGAGAACCTAAGCCAGCTTTGCCTCAACATTAAGTAGACATCCAGGTTTCTTAACACCACTATGCAGCCTTTTCCACGCACAACAGAGAATATTCATTGCCTCAGGGCTTTAGTTTATGGTGATTATTTTCTACAGTGACAATATTCAGGTAGAAGAGGTTGATAAATTCTTTGTGAAATCACAATCATTTTCTTTGCATCAGCACTGTAATTTGCAATGTTGAACTTCGGTATGTATAGTTCCATTACTAGTCTTCACGGATCATTTGGTGTATCGATGTCAAAATGTACACCAAGTGTATGCTTTTTACATGGAATTGAAGAGATTGAAGAGAGAGAGATTTTTTCCTTTTTTTTACCTAGAGGTATCAAGGATGGGTCTGCTGTCTTTTGACAGGAAACCCTGGGAAGTTTGGAGCCTTTATACTGACAGGTGAACTCACAAGATTTGTATTAATATTTTAAAATGTACTTCAAAGCCTATTATTTTGTCTAAAATAAGACTTTTGATTTCAAATGCAGCCTTCAAATTCTGAGTAGCTCCAGGTACTTCCTGCCAAGAAATGTTTTACTATCATATTTTCCTATACAAAATTAGAAGTTTCTCTCTCAAGCTCCATAGAGAAAAAGTACAAATTGCCATCTTTTAAATGAAGCAGCACAACTGACTGTAGAAAGTGTTGGTAAGTGTGTGGAGAAGTGGTGAGGGAAGAGAAAAGAAGAATGTTTTTCCCTACTTTCTCATCTCTTTATGTGATAATAACCTTACGTGTTACTTCTGAAAACAGAGCAGATGCCTTCAAGTAGCAGGGCAATTTTCAGCAGTGTCCCCTTAAACGACTGTTCAAGTATCTCATACATGGCCTTGTCTTGCTCAGGCAGCTCTTGGAGGATACAGAATCTTAAAATCCTCTGCAGTCCTGCTTTTGGCACTTGCTCTCAGTGCTCTTACTTGATGAGGCTTTAGACAGCATAGCTCTGAGTGGGAGAAACCTTTGTAACAGGAGCTGTGACATCTCAGCAATGCTGGCTAGGCAGCAGTCATCCCCCCCCCTTGCATTCCGAGTTTTCATCGCAGTCAGAAGGGGGAGAAGCTTTAAATACCAGCGAGGGGGGCCAGTACATTATTGCTTTTAGACTGTACTGCATATGTCAGTTCAATCTATCCTCAGGGAGAGAAGACTCCAAAACATTTTTGGTTATCACTGCTCACAAAAGGCAGTTCCCATTCAAACCAGTTAAAGAAGCAAAAGTACAACTGTGGCTCTTACGACAGATTTTCTACAGTGTGAGTGTATTTGTTCAAGTATGTTTGCTCTAGGAAGTCAGAGCACCATACTATTTTCTTTATATGAAATGCTTTTCAAGATCTAACCCTGGCAAGTAGGAAGAAAGGGTAGAATTCGTTAGCCTAACTTCGGAGCTCTCTACCACAGCCATCTACAGCTAAGCAGGTCACAGAGACATCCTTTGTACAGAAAGGACAAAAGCAGACACTTTTAGGATAAACTGTATCATAAGCTCTGAAATGTGTCTAAAATAGGTCAGAAGAGTTGTTCTCTAATGAATTTGGAAAAATGAGCACTTCTAGAGAATACTAATTATCTAGATACATGTCTCTGTCATAAATCCCTAGATTTTTGGAGGTGAATCTCCTCAAATTATCAGGTGCAGTACTTTCAGGTATGCACATATTTCTTCAAACTGTAGTTGTTCTTGCTAAGCTTCTCCTGAGCTACTAGTGATAAAAAAGCTGAGGTGAAATTAGAAACACACTGATACCTGAAGTAAACAAGACCTATTTGAGCATTATTACAGAAGCAGAAATGCAGAGGCAGACATCGAGATGTAGGTCTAGGAGTACAAGGACCTGACTTTGCATATCCGTTCTAACACAGACATCTCACAAGTGGAGGGGAATCACTGTGGTTTGTCTGCTGTCCATCCATTAGGTCCAGCATACCTTGGCTTAATTAGGTGGTTGCTCATAATTCTTGGTACTAAGTTTGAACACAGCCTATTCAAAATAAGGAGTTAAAGGTACTTCCAAAGCTGAATCTGCCTTTCACTGGCTTCTTAATAGTCACTTTAATACAAAATTGCCTAAAGTGTTTCTGTCTTCAGCTGCACTGAGAAAGGCTCTTATAAAGAAAAGGAAGGGAATTAACAGCCAGTGTCTCAGCGCTCACAGTCAGCCTGACGTTCTTGCCCATCTTTTTGTGGGTCCGTTCATCAAAGAGTAACTTCATTCATGCGTAAGGGAGAGGACCTTCCTACGTACTCAGGAACCTGTGGAATTGATTGTGTACTAAGCATGATCAAACGCACAAACTCAACAAAACAGGAAGAAATATTCCACCAATAAACCTCTGCTCAAATTGTAACAGTTGAATTCTAAAAAAATCAGGCAGCGACAGTTTGGGGACTGCAAAGCGCTTCGTGATTCTTATAAGGAAGCATCACAGAAGAGCAATAAAGGGTAAATGGTTCAGAGACGTACAGGGAAAATTTCGGAACTATACAGTACCTCAAACAGGGAACCATAACGTTTGTAACACCAACAGAGGCCCCCTCCCCCCGCCCCTCAGAAGCACTGGGAGAGGTGGGATACTGACCTTCTCTCTTTTGAAAGCTCAGTTTGGAATGCATGGTGGGGAAATGCACTTTGGAATTCAAATTCGATGAATTTATGACAGAAAGCAAATCAGTGGGGAGAACAGCGCAGAAAGTGATCTAGACCAGCACTGCTCAGTGCTACCTAGGCTGTCTTTGTCCACACCCCACACCCCGAGTCAGCTCAGAGGCACACTGGATGAGCTGGGCAAAGCTGTTTCCACCCGCTAACTGCTGTACAGAGAAAAGGACTAAGACATACAAGGCTGACATGTAAATTCATGAGGCATTCTGAGTTTGGGTTAGTGTTGCTTAGACACAAGATCTTGATTTACGACTCAGAAGAGCTGTTATTTGCTGCTATTGTTCTGCCTAGCAAGATGAAGCGGGTCATTCCACCCCCACCCCCCTGCAAAATCAGGTAACCATAACCATGTCCGTGCTTTTGAGGTCTTCTAGCAACAAGTGCTATTCAGAAGTTCAGTACGGCGAAGGCAGCAGAGAAAACCTGCAGGCCAGACGATGACCAAAGACATTCGGAAGGGTAATAGACATGTGCCTGCTCCTGACAAGAGTCTGGGACACGGGTGGAAATGCAGGAGACACCGAAAAGCTTGGTTGTTTTTCCTAAAAACCAGGGCAGTCAGCACTGCAGAGGGAAAGGCGCAGCGCAGGTGCCTCCCTCGCACCCACGAGAGCTACAGCTTATTTTGCTGAATTGTTCGTGATGTCCAGAACACTTTTATAGCTTTGAAAAGTAAAATCTGAACTTTCAGGTCATGGTAAGTTCCTAAAGTTCCTAGAGGAGCAGCTGCTTTTCAGGTTGTTTTGGATTCTGTGAATGTTATAACAACAGTTGTTTTGCGTTTTGCACGGGGGGGAGGAATCACGCTCGTTTTCAGGCGAGTCTCGCCAGAGAAACTGCGGTGCGCACCTGCAGGAGC